CAAGCTGATAAGCTAATTATTGAGTCGTTACTAATACGATAACAATGAAGGCATACATATCAATTCGATAACTAACTAAACATAGGCTATATGAATATAGATCTGTAGATATATAACTGTAACTATATCGAAATGATGATACTGAAAGATACTATGCCATATAACTAACAAAATACTATACAACAAAACTAACAACACTACTATACAGAGCAGTAACTAGATATACGATGTCGTGAGACAACGTGGTTAACTGAGACAGACTATTTACGTATGCATCTGACTATATGTGATAGAATAGCTATTACACCATAACTAACAACATATTATCAACATAACGTAACAACTACTTGATACCAATAGTAACTAATAAGCTATACTATGCCACATGAAACTAACAACATACTATTACACATTTAACTAATGATATACTATACAACATAAGACTAATAACCATACATATACAACATAACTAACACATGATATACAACATAATTAACAACATACTATACAACAATAAACTAACAACATACTAGGTACAACTCATACAAACATTAACTTAAAGAACATACCTATACAACTATAAACTAATAAACTCTATACAACATAACTAACATCAAAAATTATACAACATAGACTAATACACATTACTAATACAATTAATCTAAAACGACATTATCTCTTACAACATAACTAATAACATTACAATACCAAACTATTAACTAATAAGCATACTATACAATATACTAACCCGAGTACTATACAACATAGCTAATAACATTACTACATTATAAACTAACACATGTACTATTACAACATAACTTAATAACAGAAGCTAGTATGAGGTGGTATTTCGTAATTTAAGTATCTATATTTTACAGTTTGCCAGTCCGCACTGTTTTTATAACCAGCTTTTGTAATGCCGCACGTTAAACAGGCTCTGGCCATGGAAACGCTTGCGCAATATAAATAAATAAATTTATTATATTAAATATTTACTATACAGCATGAACTAATAACATACTTATACAACCATAACTGAACAACATACTTTATACAACAAACGAACAAACATTACTATACAACATAACTAACCACATACTATACAATCATAACTAACACATCACTATACAGCATAACTACACAATAATAGTAACTCTAGTACACGAGATGACTAATAACATTACTTATACAACATAACTAATAACATGCTTATACAACATAACTATAACATACTATTACAATATAACTAACAACACACTACACAAATAAGACTAACAACTATACTCTACAATATAAAACTAATAACATTAGCTTTGTACAACATAACATATAAGCATACTATACAACATAACTATAACATACTATACAACATAACGAATAGACATACTATACACACATAAACTAAACAAACATACGATACAAGCATAACGAATAACAGGACCATTCAACATAACTTAATAACATGTCTACAAACATTAACTCAATAACATTACTCTGCAACATAACTAATATGCATTTACTATCAACTATAACTAACAACATACTATACACATAAATAAACAACTATACTACTACAAACCATAACTAATAACATACTATACAACATAATAAACAACATACTATACAATGAACTAACGAAAATCTTTACAAAACATAACTAGACAACATACTATAACAATAACTATCAACATACTATACAACATAACTAACTAAGCATACTATACAACATAACTAATAACATACTATACAAACATAACTAAGCACATTACTATACAACATAAAACTGAATAACATACCATTCAACAACTAATATTATGTTTCTACAACATAACTAAGTAACATACTATACAACATAACTAATACATATTATACAGATATAATAACAACCATACTATACGAACATAACTAAAACATTACTATACAAGCATAGCTCGAATAACCATTCTATACAACATAACTACAGCCATACTATACAACTATACTTACACATAGCTATACAACATAACTAACAACATACTATAGCAATAGTAACTAATCACTTTACTATACAACTTTAACTAACAATTAACATACTATACAACATAACTGATAACATACTATAGCCAACATAAAACTAACAAACATACTCTACCAATATAACTACATAACATACTGCTACAAATAACTTAATAACATTACTATACAACATAATCTAATAACATACTATACATATATACTAAACAACATATTACACATAAATATAACATACATACAACATAACTTAATAACGATACTATACAATATAACTAACAACAAGATACTATTAATGTTGGCCTAATCCTTGTGTGTGTGTGGTGTGTCGGGTTGTGTGTGTGTGTGTGTGTGTGTGTGTGTTGGTGTGTGTATTTGTTTGACCTCGATGTTCTTATCATTTGTCCACTCAATCGCGGTAACTGAAAGATATATTCAGAATTCATCACGTCTGGGAGATGGTTCTGCTGCTAGACAAAAATTGTAAAAATAGTAATAAAAAATAAAAATTGTCAAAATCCAAATTCTCTGCAGTCACGTACGGTGGTAATAATTCGACGTGTTTGCCTGACGCCGTAGCCGTAGCGGTAGAGGCACCGGCTTTTATAATCGCCGATATTCCCGGTTCGAATCTCAGCTGGTGAAAAAAAATCTCTCCGTTTACCTTTTTTACTCATTTAGTATCTACTTTTGCCCACTTCAGCGTCAATTAGTCAAAATGTAAAAGATAAGATCATTTTACTGGGACAGTTCAGTTCAATAAAATTAAAAAGTTAAAAACTTGAAAAACTTACTATTGTTTTTACTATTATTATTATCTACTACTATATATTATACTTGCACATAACTACATAACATACTATAACATATATAAGCTAATAACCATACTATCACAACAGTACACCTAACAACATACTCTTACAATATAACAATAACATACTGTACCCCACATAACCATTAACATCTACTACGCAACATAACTAGATAACAGTACAATTAACTACATAACTAATAACATACTATACAACATAACTAATACAAGAGCGGCACGTTACATGTATCAAAGATGGCCCGCCCGACGTGTTGTTAACTGGCTGTATATTTATTACGCGTATCTACTACATGATATCAGGGGTAGATAATGACAATTTGTCATTATATACACCTGATAATATGTACGCAACCATGGTGGTTTCATTACCTAGACGGAGATTGCACCTCCGTGCGTCCGTCCGTGCGTGCGTGCGTGTGGCCGTGTTTCGTTACAAACCATATCAAGCCTCGTTTGATTGTCAGAACATCAAAGAGCCAAGCGTTTACTTAAACTGCAGTACGGATTTTACGCTGGATAAAGTTTCGCGTGCATAATCTCTCGAATGTATGCCACGGAAGCGGCATCGCGGAAATTGTGTACACGGTGTGCGGTTAACAATAGACACAAAGACTACAAGCCAGACACCACTAATGAACCTATTAACTCTCAAAATCATTACTAGCGCCTTGTTTAGGAAAGCACCTAGATCTTACTTACATCCTAATTTGGTTATCGCAGTTAAGTAATAATGCAAGCAGATGATAATTAGCCCCAGAGCAGGATTTCATAACAACGTGGAGTTAACGACACCTAACCAGCTGATTAGTAAATAGGTAGATGAATATATATATATATATATATATAGATAGATAGATAGATAGATAGATAGATAGATAGAGATAGATAGATAGGATATGAAGATAGAGGTAGATAGATAGATAGATAGATAGATAGATACGATAGATAGGTAGCGTTGGAGATTAACTGTAATGCAACGATAATAGATCGATGAAAAGATAGATCGATAGATAGATCGTATAAACACACGCACACACAGCTCACTCCGCGCTCTCTCTCACTTTCACACGTGGCGCATTACACCACGACACACCACACACACACACCACACACAACAGCACACACACACACACACACACACACACACACACACACACACACACACACACACACACACACACACACACACACACACACACACACACACACACACACACACACACACACACACACATCAATTTGACGTCACAACGCAGTAACGACTAGTTTTTAACTGACGGAGATGCAAAATGCATCTAGGTATATAGTAGGTAGGTAGCGCGCAGATCGTCACACAAGGTAAATACATCAACGAAGCGCATGTAGGCCTAGAACATCATAATTATCGCTTTACGTGCGTACACTCATTGCCATCGCCATCGGATTTCTTTCGGTTGCTCGCAGTTTGATACAATGCGGGCAACATTTGACGCTAGCCCTACAGAACATGTTGACAGACAGAGACGTTGAAGTATATAGGTGATTAATTTCGCCGCGGTCAAATGCGGGGGACAATGGACAGGTAATCGTAAGCGGGCCCCATAGCTGATAAGCAACTATGCACGTGTTTTGATTAAAGCGAAGATTTGCGGGAGTTCGGCTAGTTGGGCGCATAGAAACATGCCAGCACTCTTAAGACCTCTGCTAATTAATTACTCTTGGCCGAGGCCCGAAAATAGACGGCTACGTCCGAACTCAGATTGCGAAACCGCGAGCATTTCTCCGCATTCGACGTATACGAAATTCCAGGGTAGGGTGGGTTGGGGAAGGGAGGACTCCCCTCCGCCCCGGAGCCACCGCCCCCCTTCTCGGTGTAGTTCGCGCCACAGACGACGTTAAGCTAGGTGGACGGGATAAAGAAGAGAAAGCAGGCGCGAGGTAGACCAGAGGTGCCTCGGAGATGGTGAGCGAGGAAAAATCCATATGACATTCCGTGGCGCTATGAGACGGCGCTGGTGCATGCCTGCTTGCCAGGCTGGTGAGTAATTACTGAGGTGGGGATTAAGATGCGCAGACAAATTGTGAGACGGCCCATTTCGCGCGCCAGCACAGACGCACGCGCGCGCGCGCTCGCACACGCACAAGTCGGCTGCGAGGCACAGGTGAGGACAGAGCGACACACGCGCGCGCCGTACCGCCATCACGTACCGCCGTATCGTCATGCAGCTCCTGCTAACGCTCCTCCTTGTCGGGACGATTCCCAGCGGATACGGATTCCAGACGGAAGAGGAGAAGGTTAACACGCAAGGTAAGCTATGCTGTTAACACGTGTAATACACCTAGCACGGTTATCGACTGTGACACGCACGCACATAGCGGGCGTACGTGTGAGGAAACTGAGTAAACGCGAACTGGGGTATGCAGATATACTCCGTGTACTCTCTGCTGTAGCATATATATAGGCATGCATCGTCTAAGGCCATATCCAGCTATATGTCACAAAATAAATTCTATGGAATTTTTGTAATCGGTTGTAAGCGTATATCTCTCACGTACGCGTCTCAAAAAAACACATCAGCCGTAGATTCTGTATTTCTCCTGTTATTCTAGCTCTCCTTACCACATCCACGCATATATATATATATATATATATATATATATATATATATATAATATATATTATATAGACATGACTCTATATATTTACGATGATTTTATAATTTAAATTTAACGCATTAATTTTATATCAATTAAACTGAAAGGGCCAGTCGATACAGTCGTTTCGGATTGGTCAAGCTCAGTCGATTGGTCCGCTTCCACGCTCCCCGGTCAGCTTTGGTCAGTACTCACGACGGGGCCGGCTGGGTAAGTTCCGTCTACCGTGCATTAGTATACCCTAAGACGAAGATAGAACTTTAGATAAGCACCACAGGCGGTAGTGTCCCTGATCTACTTGTATATAGTGTGGCACATACCACTATGAAACTGTTGTTAATATCCTACGTGTGTAGCTTCAGTAATTTGAATACATAATCGTGTAGTATTTAACCCATTATTGGTAGAGGCCCATTGTTTGCTTTCACGACACGTAAATTTGAGTGTTTACAGAAGTGATAACAAGTTTTTACAGTTTCAAGATATACGCTCACGGGCGTCCTGCCGCGCATCACGCCCGCCGAGCAAATTAGCAGGGGGCTGGACCTCACCCGTAGCTTCCAACGAATCACGTGTGTGGTGTGTGTGTGTGTGTGTGTGTGTTTGTTGTGATGTGTGTGTGTGTGTGTGTGTGTTCGGGGGGGGGGGGGGGGGGGGGGGGGGGGGGGGGGGGGGGGGGGGGGGGGGGGGGGGGGGGGGGGGGGGGGGGGGGGGGGGGGGGGGGGGGGGGGGGGGGGGGGCGGGGGGGGGGGGGGGGGGGGGGGGGGGGGGGGGGGGGGGTTGGGGGGGGGGGGGGGGGGGGGGGGGGGGGGGGGGGGGGGGGGGGGGGGTGTCGTGTGTATGTGTGTGTGGTGTGTGCTTGTGTGTGTGTGTGTGCGCGCGTCGCCCGCGTGTGCGGTGTGCGTGCGTGCGCGTGTGTGTGTGTGTGTGTGTGTCGTGTGTCGTGTGTGTGGCGTGTGCGTGTGCGTGGTGCGCGCGCGCGCGCGCGGGCGCGGTGTGTGTGTGTGTGTTGTGTGTGCTGTGGTGTGTGTGTGGGTGTGTGTGTGTGGTGTATGTCGTGTGTGTGTGTGTGTGTGTGTGTGTGTGTGTGTGTGTGTGTGTGCGTGCTCTGTGTGCGCGCGTATCTGTGTATGCGTGGGTCGTATGTGCGTGTATGTGCGTGTGTGCGTGTATGAATATGAGCGTGCGTTCGTGCGCGCGTACGAGCGTGCTTAATGCGTGCGTACGTCCATGCGTGCGTCCATGAGTAAGCGTCTGTGTCATCCGGTGCAACCGACGCAGGTGGTTTTTGACATGACTTCGAACTGTATTATGCTTCTCAATAACCACACTTCGTTTATGGGCGGATGACGGTATCGCTATCACCTGCAATGTATATAACACAACTCCGCAAACAATAACAATGAACGCGTGCATCAATCGTAGTAGTAGCTAGTAGTAGTAGTAGTAGTAGTAGTAGTAGTAGTAGTAGTAGTAGTAGTAGTAGTAGTAGTAGTAGTAGTAGTAGTAGTAGTATAGTAGTAGTAGTAGTAGTAGTAGTAGTAGTAGTAGTAGTAGTAGTAGTAGTAGTAGTAGTAGTATAGTAGTAGTAGTAGCAACAGCAGTAGCAATGGGTCATCTGTCTTTCTCAACCAATGTCTACTGCTTTAGGTTAATGTGGGATCATTTCTTACCCTTCACGCAGATGTACTTGTAGCAGGCTAAAGCTCTTAAGGGCGCCTAGTCGGTCTTGTATCCTCAGAGAGCACTATGTATGCAGTGGTTGATTAAGAATTCTAAGGTCATATTCGCGATTTTCAGGCGGCCAAGTCACATTAGTGAGCGCTGATTGACGAACGTAAAGGTGCTGGCCATTTTATCTCTGTGTCGTACCTGAGTGTTTCACACTTTATGCTGCTACGTGACTTATACACCCAGCGTCTCGGGTCTATGTCTCATATCGTGAACTTATCTGTAGAATTCTATAGATGTGGCCATGCCTATATATATGCGCGGCGGTTATTTGACATTCTGATGGAGTTTTGATTTTCCTGATGCTGATTATAACTGAATAGGCAACTGATAAGTTGCAGTTTGCCGACTCACTTATCTTTATCATTTATTCCCTCATCTTTAGTATTGCGTACTCACAGTCGCATCGACAACAAGGATAAACTCGCGTAGCAGCCGATAGCACATTAACTTTTACCTTTAACCGTGAGCGTTTGATGACCAGAGCATGCGTGCTATAATAGATTCTTTCATCGTCTGTACTAATATAAAGACATAAACGACTACTAGCGATAAGATCATCGTAACAAAATGTCGAAGCAAAGACCTAATCGCATAGTTTAAATGCTTCAGAAGTTGAGCTATCGTCTGACTATTATAGTAAAACTGGTGGGTCAAGAGAATTTTCGCGAGCTGCGAAAAAATTCAATCTACTCACAGTTTAGATATACCTTGATGATGAATGAAATTGATAAAAGTGAGATAAATGGGGTTTCTTCGTTCGTTCGCTGCTTTTTTTGCTTTACCGAGAAAAGAAAAAATCTCAATACTTGGACTATTGCCTTTAAATTAATTTACGTAACTGACATGACAAATGCCAGCACAGTAAATATCAATGGCAGGTGATCACATGGACGCTGACTCTGTGACTAACAGCTTTTGGACAATCTGCGCTCAATGGAAACCTTTCACGTAAACAATGGGCCAGCCGAAAACGGAAATCCTACTCGTGACGTCACTCTCGGTTCCGCCGTAACCGCGGGAATGCGAAGGCAAATGCCCGTCTCTACAACCCGTATCGTTTCGAGTGAACCAACAGTACAACCACTTCGCCGATGCCATCTAAAGCTAGCGTGCAAAAAACGTATAGTTCCAGGTTATCACACTGACCGTGATTATTGGCCGTCAACACGCCATTCTAAAACTTTCCAATAGCGTGATGCCAGCGGGCATCTTCAATAGATGCCGCTCTTCATTGGAGTGATGTGCAGAGCGTCCGTTTAATGAGATGATGTAATCAGGAATGTATAGGCCTAATATAGACTATATAATTAGACTATATATATATGTGTCTATATCACATACTCATGATGTAATAAGAAGTGTATAATATAGACTATAATATAAGACTATAATTATAGTCTATATAAGACTAGATATATCTATATTACACACTCATGATGTAATCGTCGATATCTCAACGGCGCAGATTTAGACAGCGTCGTTGGTAGCGTTACGTTGAGTGCATCAAGATTCCGTGAAGTTGTTGAACCAACGACTGACGCACTCGAGTCATACAAACCGGAAGAATCGGTTGTTGATTTCGAAATGCTTATCGGTTGTTTTTGCGCGACGTTCTATTTTGCATAACAGGACTTCCGTTGTTACCAAAGCGATGACTTCCTGCTTTCCATAATGTTCTGTTCTATCTATTATTTTTCTATGATATCTATAATGATCTATCTATCGTTTGTCTATTAGTGCAGGAGATTGAGCCTATCGTGTTTGTGAGCCTTGCATGTTTATTGGACGTCGGGTCGAGTTAAAAAGCGCAGTTAGAACTTAGAGCGGGTTCCAGTTATTTGCTTTGTACCAAGTACTACACCAATCGTTGTTTAATCCAACAAAGTGCGCAATCAGTCTAATTAGCATGTGTAAACTTTCGCAACGAAATATCTAAGCTAGAACCTAATTGTCATCTAAATGAGGTTGCTGTTTAAACACTACGTTGCTCATGCAGTAACTCTGCAGTATCGTAACGTATTAATTTTGTCATTAATACATGAGAAAAATGCATCAAACATAACCATTTGAATCACGCTATTTTAAAAAACGTGCATTTTAATCATTTTTATTGTTCGATGTGCTGCCTAAATTAGCACTTCTGTTGTTTTGGTAGAATGATTCCGAATACCCAAACAATGCTGTCATAACTTCTTCTTCTTCTTCTTCTTCTTCTTCTTCTTCTTCTTCTTCTTCTTCTTCTTCTTCTTCTTCTTCCGTTATCAGTCTTCCATCAACTGGCTGATGATTATGACTGTGGCAACGACTGATGAAATTTCTTGTCATTATTACGATGGATTCAAAATTTAATTTAATTTAATTTAAATGTCATGATTGGGATACTGTTGATTGATTAGTTGGGATGAGGCTGTGAGTGATGAAGGTGGAGATTCAGTTCTTTCTCGAAATCGTCCACCGGGTTGATGATAGCCAGTTCAGATGGTAGCGTACGTGTTCCACAGACGGGTCGTTTTCGGAAAGAAAGAGTACAGATGATAATCGGTGGATGCGTCGATACAATTTACTTTATAAACTTAAAATACCTAGACGGATCAGGAAGCACGAATCAGACAAAGGATTTATATGAAAACACGAAAAACACGAATTATAATTCATAATCCATCTCTACAGACATGCTCTAATTAGTAATGATTTTTTGTACGAAGCATATTCGATCTATCTCGCAAGTCTGCGAAGGCCGTGCATTATTATGTGTTGGTAATACTGTTCCGTAGTAATTAGTATGTATTTGCAATGATGTTTGCAAAGTCATTGTATTGTATTGCAAAGTATTTATGTTTGAAAATATGATAGATTAACAGCAAAGCGCTATTGTCACAGTCATCTGAATCCAGCAGATAGTGGATGTGAGACCAGTCACGATATTCGGTGACTACCGGTGCATGTACTTATGTACCTTACAATGTACGCTACGACGGTCACAGCAACGTTCGTAGATATATTGAAATACAACTTTTTGTGTTCACTTTGTCTATATGTATTTAACTGATTTAGATGTGTTTATATACTTTCGGAATACCCGTATAATGCAAACACAACACATCGTTAGTAACGTGTATTGTAGTATACGAAATCAATAACACGTGACTTTGACGATCGAAATCTTTGCTTATTGCAATTTTAACGAGCAAGAACAGACACGAACAAAAGTATGAAAATCGGTACGACTGCGCACAGCTAATAAACTGTCATTACAAGTTTTATCTTGTTTGTATGCGACTATGTTTTTATACGTATGCAAACTACAAATATACAAAATAACTATTTGTGAGTGTTACTTGCTATTGCTGATTGATCATTGGGCTTGGCGAAGGGTCACCTTCTTTCCTTGTAAATGAAAAGTGTATACAAACCCTATCTGTTACCTTATCCTCTGTGTTATATCAATGGGGTTTGCTGAATAGTCACTGCTTGCAACCGTGCAGCCCCGGATTGTGTTTCTTTACCTTTGAATGAAAGAAGTGCAGCTTTCTTTTTATCGTGCAGTTTGTTTATTAGCAAAATCCTGTAGCGTTAGTGAATGGGACAACATAATATGTTGTCCCATTCACTAACGCTACAGGATTTTGTGCACATATCATCTAACGTAGACCATAAGACACATGCGTCCATTGTCACCGTTAATACAGTCGCATCACGCAGTCTCATTCATCTTAACTTAATAGGCGTTTATACATACATAATTGATTACTAATTTTGTGATATTTTGAACAAAACCTACCGGTCCAGTAAATAGTTTCGTTATCATATCGACTAATGATGATACACAATGACCGAATTAGATTACATTTCATTGATCTAACATCTTTGTAAGCGTAATAAGATGAGGAATTTGAATGCGCTGTTCACTTTATTATGATGCATGAGTCGATCAACACGTATACACGTCGCATCAAAATATAATATTAAATCAGGCTGGTAATATCATGCGCACACACAGCCCAAACGTTAGGCAGATCGTGCGTCAAACAATATAATTAATAATTATTTATTATATAATATTTTAATATAATATAAGATAATATATTAAATAAGGTTGGTGTTTGCTCGTTTGTCTGTCTGCTGGTTTGTTTGTTTGTTTGTTGAGTTAGGTTTTTGATTTTTACTTGCTCGTTTTCTTATTTGCTTGTTTGTTTGTCTTGCTATCTATTCCTCATTATTATCAATAATGCGTGTAAGAGGGCAATGCGGAAATAAAAATGATTAAAAAGAGTAAGAAGAACGCTATATATCTACGAAGACACAATAAAAGCAACAATTACACGAACAAGAGCAAGAATATGGACAACGGAGATTGATAAAAATAAAGTAAAAGAAGAAGAAGATTAAGAAGATGAAAGATTAAGAACAAGAACAACAATAACATAGAGAACAAGAAGAATAAGAAGAAGAAGATAATCACGAAGAAAGATCAAGAATATTAAAAAATAAAACAAAATAAGAATAAGACAAAGAGGAAGAAGAAGAAAAACAAAGAAGAAGAAGAAGAAGAAGAAGAAGAAGAATAAGAAGAAGAAGAAGAATGAAGAGTAGGACGAGAAGACGCGTGTTTGTATAATTGTTGATTACGTGTGCACTCCCTGTAGCAGCCATACAAACGCATACTAACAAGAGCTAATAATACCTAAATAAATAATTAAATCAAGAGCTAAATATAATATAAGAGGTATTATTAGCTCTTGATACTAACGGTGGCAGCTAGGAACACGATAGTATCACACCGTCATTTATCGTCGTTTAGTTGCCTACACTGTTAGCGTCACGCCTCCATACATATCGTTCACTGCTGGTATGGCAACACATATGTAAGTGCGGTAGGCAGCATTGTCAACGCGTAGCACGCCAATAGCGAGCAAAAACACCCATGGCATTTGCATGGAAGCTCGTATAATATGTAGCATTTACTTTCGACTCGACAGCACGAGTATAATACGTGCGATAGAATGTTAAATGATGTATATCGTGACGACGGAAAAACGCGATTGCAGCTGGCAGCTGCTGTGTGATGTACACTGTTGAACCGGATACTGTTAATGGCCCTGTCACACATTGACGATTTAGACAGCGTATCCCGGACGTATCAAAATTTCTCTAAAACGCTGGCATACGCTGAACTATTGATGTTTTTTTCAATTTTGGGCGTATACAAAGCGTATTCATAACGAGTTGGACGTATTAGTAACGTATATAGAACGTTTCGATAACTTATAATATAACTTATACCAACGAATGCTTAGCATGTTGCCGGCGCTCACAACTTATGTCCAACGATAGTCTAACTTATGCATAGCGCGCGGCAGCGTATCGCCGACGATCACGTGTCGTAGCCTATAAAAAGGCTGCCGCTCGACGATTCAAATCATAACCGCACTAGACATCACAGTATCAACATCACCGTCGCAGTATCAACATGCCAATACCATTTTTATATACCAATTCCCCTAAACGCTGCCAATACGCCATTATACGGTAGCTGTAAGTTAGAAACACGTTCAGTAAGTTCTGTGGTCGTCCGGAGCACGTACGTCAAATACGTCTACATACGTCAATATGCGTTGGAGATAAGTTACACATAGGTTCAAAGCACGTTACTCATAAGTTAGAAATAAGTTTTGGGTACGCTAGACATGATCTCGACGTATTTCGACTTATGAGTAACTTACAAGTAACGTGTGTGAACGTGTGTCAACGATCGCATAACTTACCTACAACTTATGGCCCGCGTATGCGGGACGTATGGGCATACGCTGGCATACGTCGGAAAATTTTGAGCATGCTCAAAATTTTTAGACAACCTCGCCGTACTACGACGTATACCAGCGTGCTTCGGCGTGCTTCAGCGTGCTCTTAACTTATACAAAGCTTACCCATAACTTATTCGACGTACGCCAGCGTATTCACCAAATTTTTGATACGTCCGGCATACGCTGGCTAAATCGTCAATGTGTGACAGGGCCATAAGGTTGGGAGCTGATTTTCGGTCAAAATTTCAATACCCACTTTATTTGATAGATCCCACCTATGGCCAGCTATGTATACGTAGAAATGATGTATACATGTAGCCTCCCAAACAGTTCCAATTCCCCGCATTAGTCAATGACAGGGGTTCAGTCATGAGAACTTTTGAAAAGTGCTATTATCTCCATTGTTAGAAATGCTGAAGTTTTCAAAAGCTAATTCTTCAAACGCTATTTCTCGAAACTCACAACTCCGATTCCAATTTTTTTTATTTCGTGTCAATGCTAACATATCAAAGGAAAAAAGACTCCCTGGAATTTAAAAAAAATATTATATTTTATAAGTTATGGCCCTTTGTTTACGAAATTGTTGCGGTTTGAAAATCACTACAAATTTCCGTACATCTTTTCAACTTATTTCCTAAATTAAAGCATTTAAAAAAAATTATAAAAAAAACAACAACTTATGGTTAAAAGTTTAGATCCCAACTCTTTGCTGTTTCTGAGAAATGACAAAAAAAAACATTTTTTTGTATAAATTCACAATTTTTCCCGTCACTCAATTAGCGATAAATTAAAAAAATAAATAATCAAGAGCGTAGAGAGACATCTCTCTTATGTAATGGATATGAGTTTAATTGAATTTGATGAGCAGTTATGATGCAATGCCCTTTACAGTGTTACCTGTCCGTAACCCTAACAGTATCCTTAACTCTATTCACCATCTCGTAAAACCAAACTAGGGTCGAATGCGAGTGTTCGTGCGATGCGTGCATGTATAATATTACGTATTTAATGCATGAGTCTTAAGTAATCGCAACAATTTAACTAATGCCTAATAATAACTCATATTTGAATAACGACAATTGAAAGTTCATGCGTGTTGAGGATGTGTCTAGTATATAGGGAGCAAAACACAGTATATAAAAGACACAGACTATAAAATTAATAATTCGATTGCACGTCGGCACGCAATCGTTAAATATCTTGCACGGATTGCACGCTATATTTTATATGCAATATATATTAGTTTGTTTTTTTAATTGCTAATTCCTATCATATCGACATTATTAAAAAAGGGGGGTTATTGAATGGACACGACACTGGCGCCGTCCGCGATTCTAACCAGTGACGGCACCAGCTAAATAGCCCGATTGAGTCGGGGCCCTCTAAGACCATTAGTCAGAAAGATCATTAGACGCTGTGTAACCCTCGTCGAACGTGTAACGTGATCGTGCCGCCTTACTCCCCATGCCGGTGATTACGCAAAACCCCTTTCATCCGTGTTTCCTCTCCGTTTTCTCGTCTCGTCTATAGAAAACGCCGTGCTGGCCCTTGAGTACGTGGAGAACGTGCGCAATAGCCACTGCTCCGGAGGCACGGGCGAGGTTCTACCCATTGAGTTCGATCACGCGGTGTGGAACAGCCAAGCCCAGGTACGCTATAGACACGCAACAACGCAGTTACGATGCAGTATTCATCCAATCTGCTGAATTTGAGATTAAGTAAACAATCATGCCCTTAGTGAGCGGGGTGGGATGTACTAGGACTGACACACACATCATCACTTTATACACACATCAATGTTGTTTGACGTGTGATACACATTTAATATAATGTCAGATATGTGACATTTAGCACACACGCACACAAAAACCTCCACACACCTCTATAGCACATACACTAAGATCGATTATTTAGAGTACATAGCTGGAGGTGGTAGAACTAGAGAAAGCGAGGGAGATAATCGACACAGACAGCCAAACAAACAGACAGAGAGAGAGAGAGAGAGAGAGAGAGAGAGAGAGAGAGAGAGAGAGAGAGATGGGAGAGAGAAGGAAAGAGAAGGAGAGAGAGAGAA